TGAATGTCACTAACTTGAAAGTAGCCACTGAAAAGCCAATATTTTTTATAATTAAAATTAAACTATAAGTAGAAATTGTCAGTCTCTATCAGTATATAGTTAATATATATATGAATTTGCACATATCCTAACTTTACAAAAATTCTGCTATTTAGACTATCATCATCACTATGTTGCTGTACATTAAACAAATTTGTTAATTTAGTGGAATTCCACTACATTTGGCAGCATGTTTCCGCTGATGGAAAGATGGTCAAATTTGATTTGCATTTTAACACAATCTTGTATTCTCTCACTCTACTGTTAACACAGGAGTCCATAAAACTTATTATTTTTAATAACTTGTTACCTTCTCAGTTCATTAAGTTGAGTTTGCAGGACTCTAATGTACTTACATCATACATCCAACACACACAACATACAAAACGTATATACTGAAAAATTAGTAAATACAGTACTCAAAATTTACCCATGAAATGAAATGTCTATGGAGAATGGATAAGGTACTTACTATGCCAGTATTCCTTAATTGCACTGGTGTACACTAAACAAGTCTTGACATATTGGGACTTTACAACAACACATGCATCACACTGCAGAAGGCTATCATACTAAACATGTCATATAGTCAGGAAATTCTTAAATTTTAATATGGAAATTTAAAAATATGTTCTATTTTAAATCTTTGTTCTTCTGCCTGAATATATTTAAATCCTATTTTAAATCCTTTGTTCTTCTGCCTGAATATTCTTAAATGATTGCTTGATGCATTTGAACTTAAACACACTACCAAACAAGCAAAAAATTATTAAATTTATAATAACTCAACTGTTTTTGGTCTATCCATAGAGAGTCATTGCTGCTAATGTCTTGCTACTGGATTCAGAAGGTACCAGTATGTCATTTACTCATTCTTAGAGATCCAGTCCCCAAGTTCCTACTGCAGATTTTTACCCATGTGACATTCATGATGGCATTGGTACCTTTTGTTTGTACAATCTTGTTTATGGCAGTTTCTTCAGATTTATTAATATCACTCTTCCTCTCTTTTACATCTTGCATTCAGCATGCTGGTTACAAAATCCTGGAATCCTGGGTAGGAGAGGTTGAGTGAACTCAACAAAGGAGGGCTAGCTGGAAATTCTTTAGCCAGCTGTGGGATTGGATATAGGATGAATATTGATTTCAGCAAGATTTTTGAGCAAATTTCAAGTATGGAATCCCAACTAGTCTGGCCCTTTTTTATTATTTTATTGCTAGATTGTCCTACTTATAGATAACACCAGTTCCTAGCATTATGCCAGGAAATGTTAAAGCATAGTTATAGAAAAAGGTATGTATTTATCAGTATTTAAGAATTTTCTGATTGTGATGTGTGTTTAGTAAGGAAGCTCTCTAAAATGTGTTTTATATACAGTAATACCCCAAACTTATGCGATAGGTGGGACCGAGCGGTAACCGCGTAAGTCAGGGTATAATTTCGCATATAAATACATACAAATAATTTTTAATTTGGGCCGGAGACTAAAGAAAACAATAATTTAGAAAAAAATGTTTAATAAAATCTTAGATAATACATATGTATAACAAATTAGGCCTATATTATTTTACAATTTTTCACATTTACTTGATTATTACGCCATAATTTTAACATTGTTTCCATCTCAGCGATAATACTGTGACGTTTACGAATGATGCTTGAATTTAAAGATTGAGCATTTTTCACAGCTTCGAGAATTTTTTCTTTGCCTTTTATAATTGTTCTGACCGACAATTCCGGTAGATCAAACTTCTTTGCCAATTCACAAATTTTCATTTTTGTATCGAAGTCTTTAATAATGGGTACGTTCGTAAAGTCAAACGAGTTAAACGCGTTAGTAACGAATCGTTCGAAAAGTCTAACGAAATAGGAATAACGATGACTTCATTCTCGCTTAACTCGTTCGACTTTACGAACATACCCAATGTTAACTTTACATTCCAAAGATAAAGTTTTTCTTTTCTTGTTTGATGCAGAAGAATTAGTTCTACTTCGTTTGGATGACATAGTAGAGTCTCTCAAGTCTCCGTAGATATAACAAACACAGAAATAAATAACACAAAATAAATTGTAGCTATGTGTGGATTCTGCACGACACATCCGAACATGTAAGCTGAACAATAGTGTGGGGGGAGTGAGTAATCAAGGGTTGCGTGGCGCTCAAACAAAAGACGAATCAACGAGATTTGAAAATCGCGTAACTCCGGGTTTGTGTAAGTCGGGGTATTACTGTATTCAAACAACTGTGAATGAATCTTTCTGTCAATCACCTGACTCATTATTGACAGTAATGACCTTGATAAATTACCTTTGATCAGCCAAGTCATGGTAGAAAACAAGAAGTCATTATGTGAGATTGGCCAAGGGTATAGGGTTGATCCTATACCTCTTATGGGCTCAGATTAACCGAAATCTCGATCCGATCCTAATCAGGATTTTGACCGGGAGGGCTTTTTAATATTAGAGAGGATATAGACGGCAAAGTCTTTATCCAACGTCGGGATTCGTGACACCAGTTTGTCAATTAAATTCCGCGGACAAACACGCGTGTGAGATCTGATTCAGACACAAATTAAGAGTCATGTCATTTGATAAACAAACAATAGTAAATTTAATAAAGCATAAGAAAATAAAAACTAATACAAAATATCAAATGAAGGAGTGATATAACAGCTACAATTAAGATACACATCGAGAGAGATACGACCCTATTATAACTGATACAAGATCGAGAGAGAGATTACAATATCGTTATAAAACATACAACCTGGTTTAGTTGTCGTTCGTCATCTTCTCTGTAGGCAAGGGACACTTTGGAGATAAAGTTCATTTACTTCTTTCCATGGGAGATAGCTATGTGCACAAAATCAAAGTATCTCTTCTAAGTGCCAACTCTGGGATTATTCTATGTGGCTCGTCTAAGGGCGTTGGCATCAGTAGAGATCTGTGTGGAGTCCTGCCTCTTCCAGGTCTGTCGATGAACTCCCCGAATTCTGATAAATTTTCTCTATATGTGACGATCGGCGACCAATCATCATACAAAGATTCCTCCGTGGGAACGGATGGAAAGGGGAATATGTGAGGGGTAATCATTTCCCATCAAAGCGAGGTTTTTTGCAGATAAGGGAAAGTCAGAGGATGTCCTAACTTCCCTAGAAGGAAGTAGCATCTGTTATCTATTTTTCCCACTCTAAAACATTATTTTTTTCACCCAAACGAAAGAATATTTTATGACAAAATATTAACATTATTAATAAAATTACTGTTTTAGACCCAGGGGCCTTTCAGATCTCACAATTACTATCAGTGCTAAAACATTATCATCATCATTATATCATCACTGCTACCATCACTGACTCAGATGATCAAGAGTGATGCATTCTTGTTTTCTGTCATTGCAAAACAAAATATGACTGCATCATTATTAGTTGTTTTTTGAAGACACTGACCTGGAAGCACTCACAATCACATGTCCAAACAAATGTAAGACTTTTTCAAGTACTGGCAAAATTATGGCATTGTCTTTTGGGATGTTCAAGGAATGCTTCAAAAACTCAAAGGCAATTTTGCCTCAAGAAATCTAGTTCTTTTCAAATAGAGTTCTTCATGACAACAATCATTCACTGACTATGAAAGGTACAGTACTACCATATTTCTGAAGGATTGGAAATGGAAAATTATTTTCTACTCACCTTAGAGCCCAAATTTAATCCCATCAGATTTTCACTTGTTTTCTCATACAAAAAATGTATGAGGAGATGATTTCAAATATAAAGTGACTTATCATTGACTTAAATATAAAGCCGAGATACTTTTTAACAATCAGGCAGGAGTACAGAATATATTCAAGACTTAAAATTTCTCCTGAACATATACAAAGTTTTCTCAAATTATTGCACAAAATAAAACAATTTATGAACCAATTAATAGTTATTACTACATAGTTTGGAAAATTCAAATTAAATCATACAAATAATTAAATAAGATTATCGTATTATTTGCTGCTCAACACTAAACTGATAAATAAACCTGATTTTTTAAATTAAAAAAAGAGCGTTAATTTAAGCATGTGTTATAATCATAGAATAGTATATACAATTATAAACTTCATGTAATAAACTGATAAATTAGAATGGAAATAAAATTGAAGTTGTCAATGATGCCATGAATGATCTATTTTTATCATGAAATCCAGGAAATGCAAATTTCTTTACAGTGATCAAAGATGATGATTAACGTTACAAAGATGATGATTAACGTTACAAAGATGATGATGGTCAAGTAATTTTTATTCTGAAAAATTATTTTAAAAATGCCCCAATTTTTTTTATTTATTTATAGCTTAGATTACCATAAATCTAAAAAATGTATGTATGTATGCATATATACATATGTATCCTGATTTTTTACATTTTTCCATCTAAGACAGTTATTTTAGTTGTTTATTTCATTTATTTAATTTTGTTGTGTTATAGTGATCTTATTTGTAGCTACTTTTATTTAAATTTGTTTGAATTTAAATTATACTAGCAAATTGCATAATGTTACAAATTGATCATGAATTTATCCTTATATTGGTAAATTTTAGAAGTATTTGAATTTGAAAGTCATAGAAATTTCTCCAAAAGTTCTCTAAAAACATTCAGAACTGACCTCCTTATAGCCAAAACTGAATGAAAAATTAACGTTACAAAGATGATGATTAACAACTTTATGCCAATACTATTTAATGATAAATTTCATAAATGATGTAATGAAATGAATGGAAAGTTTTCAGTGATTATATTTTGAAAAACAACTTTCTATTTTCATGTAACATGATTTGATGTAACATGAAAATGTTAATGTTATATTTTATTATAGAGACTTTATTTTTTTACATATATTTTATTAATGATTTATTGTAAAAATCATTAATAATAATTATTTGATAAACTATATTTATAAATTTATATTATAGGTACACAAAACCTCAAAGTTTTGCAGATTGTGTTGGAGATGAATTACCTTTTGGCTGGGAAGAATGTTATGATCAACAAATTGGAGTTTATTATATTGACCATTTGAAAAGTAAGTCGTAGAAAAAAGTTTAAAGGAAAGTATATTATCCTATTGGTATAATTTTACTCATAAAAATAAAATTAAATAAAAAAACAACATAAAATGGTAAATCTTTCATATTTTTTATAACTAAACTATAAGCTCATCCCACAAAAAAAAAAAAAATCAGAATCAGAGAAAATAAATGTTTTGCTATAGAAGAAATTTAAACTTGTGCCTCATTATAATAATGCCTTGATTACAAAATTATTTTGAAGACAATAAAGAATGCAACTTTCAATATATTTTTCTGTAGAACTTATATAAGATGCACCTCACTAAATGTCAGGTTAGGTTTTAGACCACTGCCATAAAGTGAATATTACCTTAAAACAAATTACACCTTGAGTTATTTGCCAGTGCATATAACAGCCTAAAAACACATTTACAATATCATTTACTAAGTATGCAAACCTAAAAAAGACATGAAAAAGTAAAAATAGTAAATAAAAAAAATACTTAAAAGTTTTGTAAAGAGAAAGTAAGAACTGAAAATATTAAACATGAATATTATTGAAAAGCATTGCATTAGCAAAGTGCTATAAAGTGAATCACCTTAAACCTAGGTCTGCTAATTATTCAGTTTTGTGAGAACAGTTTGACTAATGTGCCCTTTCTTATCTTGTTTATATGTTTTGTAACTTATTATGAATAGAATCATTTTTCTGGCTATATCTTCTATGAATAAATGTACTTTCATTTGATAGGGTGTTCATTCAATAACACATTTTGCTATATCTTCAGCTTTATTAAAGGGAACATAGAGAAAAAATAATTCTTGTTTTCAAAATAATAATGTATTATGTTATAAATAAAGGTATTACTGAATCGTAAACAACGTGGTTTTAATTTGTGTAGAATGTTCTACTTATATTTCTTTGTACTGTTAACTAAAATTAGATAATTTATTTATAAATTCAAATAAACAAGTAGAGATTTTTGTTAAAAATATATATGTAAATTATGTTTCTTAGATTTTAAATTGCAAATTTTTATTTATTATGCTAAAGTTGGATAAACTTTTAGCAGTGTGCTAGATGATGATGACGTATTTTTAATTCAGACTACAATTATTTGCTTTATCATTTACAAATGAACTAACTTTGATTCAGATGTAAATTTAATCAATTATTTCAAAAATCTTAGTCTATTTAACATTATTTTGGCTGATTTTGAAATGAATTTCACATTGTTTAATTAAAAGTTGATGTTGCACTATTTATTGATAGTATTGATTTTTCATAAACTATTATTTTTTTTATTTGAATTCTACTTAATTTGTGAATTCTATTTATGCTGTTTTCATGATCAGTTTGAACTTCTTATTGGTAATTTAATCAAAGATTTTTATGCAATGTTTTTGTTGTGGTGATCAGTTCAAAGTAGGGTACTCATATAATACATTTCTCTTTTATAAACTACTATTTATTGGTATTAATATCCTCTAGAAAAGATATGATCAGTTATAATTGAGTTTGTTTCATGAAATGTTTTGTCAAAATGGACAGCTCCAAAGTCAAAGTAGATATGTATCTTCTGCAATAACAGATGGGCTGGCAATATTTACTTCTCTTCAAAATAGCATACACCTTGTTAAAAAATTTCATTAAATTACATATATATGAGCTAAGTTTTCATTTTATATAAATTCATAATTTTATTAATTTTTTTATTCTTTTTTTATATACTGTAAAAAAAGAATAAAAAAATTAATAAAATTATGAATTTAGAAAGAACTTCCTGCTTCGTACATTGTAAATTAAGAAAGAGTTTAGATCTTTCAAGAAGAAAAAATGGTATATAGATGCGATATGTGTGATGCGACTTTTCACGATAAATATTTATACCGTTCTCATCAATTAAATCATTCAATAGACAAACATCGGTGCAAAGTCTGCCGGCAGAGATTTGTAAATAAAAATGCTTTACTAGAACACATGAATGATATCCACCCAGAAGCGAAACCTTATGTTTTCAAACAATGCTCTAAGGATTGGAAACTAGATAAACTTTGCTTCATCATCTGCAATTGCATGCAAGGAAACCGTATAGATGTACAATTTCTCCTGCAAATTTTACAACTAAAGAAAAACAATTGCAGCACATCGGGTCACGAACATTTAGCATCCCTCACTCAATTCATGCAAGAACAATCGACGCAAGCGGGTCCTTCGACTCGGAACGTGAAACAGCCATGAATGAATGTGGGTCCTTCGACTCGGAATGTGAAATAACCATGAATGAAAGTGGGTCCTTTGACTCGGAATGTGAAATAACCATGAATGAAAGTGGGTCCTTCGACTCGGAATGTGAAATAACCATGAATGAAAGTGGGTCCTTTGACTCGATACATGTAGGAACAATGGATGAAAGCGGGTCCTTTGACTCGATACATGCAAGAACAATGGATGAAAGTGGGTTTTTCAACTCAAAATGTGCAGGAACCATCGATGTATGCAGGACGTCTCTCAATCGTACGCTTTTTTGTTGTCTATCTCTTTATGGTTGCGCCGAAATGTAAACCGCTTTGAATAGAAGAAAAAAGTAAAAACGAATGTTAGAATAATCAGTACTTCTGCTTTAGTTATTGAATGTAAGAAGTATTTTTTAAAAATTTTAATGTAGTTCAAAAATCTCTTTCTGTAATTATAGCTTTACTGTTAAGTTTTTCTGATAAATTTCTGTAAAATGCTGTTAAACCTGAAATAAATGTTCCCTTTGTGTTTTGTTACAGTTTATTTTAAATAAATTCAATTTTGTAAAAAAATACAACAAATTGGAATTCCATTAAAACATTGTGCAATTCAATATATATGAAAGAAATTTAAAGTATTAAAAATATTTATAGAATTTTAATTGACAATTTTTGTTTGTGATTGTTTTTTAGATTTATAAAACTTTTAATATTAATGTACCTCTTTCAATACAAAGTGGAAATTAACTTGTATGGCAATTCAGAAGTCATATCTACTTTGATAATTTATCATTTTTCTAATATAAATTTAAAAAATGAATTTTAATGAATTGATTTATATTTCAATGTACTTTATTGATATGATTAAAAATCTTGAAGTTGTTATAAATTATTTTCAACTTGCAACTCTTCCAGATTGGAGTGACAATATTAATAAGTCTTCAAAGTATCTTTTAAAATAAAACTCCAGTACTTGCTTACTCATATAAAGACTAATGTTTTTGATCCTTTTCTCTGGATCTTTTTCAGGTTACAGTTTTTTAGAATTGGAATGCTTTTGATTCTAAATTTGATCAAAAGCAGATATAGAGAAAATAAAGTAATTTCCATTAACATCACTACTATTGATTTTACTAAGAAAGTTGCACATAAATTCTACAATATCTGATGACATAGGTGTGAGAGCTGATTATTTAGCTCTTATTTTCTCTGAAGAGAATTAATATACAGTTAACAGTTGGTTTCTAAACAGTATCTGTGATTTAATTTATAGAAAAGAGACCAGAAACTTTCAAGATGTAAGTTTAAGTAATACAGTAGAGCCTCGAAAACTCGGCACTCGATAACCCGGCATTCCGGATAACTCGGCCACACCCTGGCAGGGCAAAAAAAATCCTTAGTTAATTAATTTTCATTATAGACAGCTTTATGCCTCATAAAGTATTTTTCTGAGGTCTGTCTTATGAGGTAAATTACTGTACACAGTGTATTCATTAATTTTCATTTTCATGTAGTAAAGGCTCTATGCCTTCATAAAGGACGTACTTTTCCTTTGTTTAAGGGTATTTGGGCAGTTTATTCTCTGTTTTATTCTCAAGCAAACAATACATACAAGTACAGCACAATATTTTCTGAGGAAACACGCATACTTATCCTTTTTTAACCCCATTCCCGATAACCCAGCATTTTCACAAACTCGGCCACCCTTCGGTCCACATTAGGCCGAGTTTTCAATGCTCTACTGTAATGTGTAATAACAACAATTAAAACAAGGATAAATGTACAGAAAAGTGAGAGAGAACTAAAGTTAAGGGATACATATGAGCCAGTGATTATGAAAGTGGTCTAACTTATAGGTCAAAAATAGGAAGAAATTTGAATTTACTTCACAAACTATTCATAAAATTTCACATTGTATACAATTATATACATGTAGCTGTTCAAAAAAGACTGAATTTTTTTGAATATTGCGAAACTTGCACTTGAGGTGAAATGCAGCCAGTGGTATCATTTAGTAGTGAGTTTTGGAACATTTTTCCACATTATGCTTTCTGCAGTAGTAATTGAGCTATGACCATTTGAGTGAACTTATGCATGTAGTATTCATTGGATTTCTGACAAGTTAAAAATGAAAGATCTTGGAAGAGAGACATGCAGAGAAATTTTGCTTTAAACCCAGTAAAAGCTTTACAGACACATGTCAAATACAAGCTTATGAGGAGATCTACATGAACAGAACTCAGTGCTCTGAATGATTCAAATATTTCAAATCAGGCAGAACATTGATTAATGAAGATCTTAGGCCTAGGCAACCTTATCAACAGACACTGATCACTTGGAAGAAGTTTGTGATTTGATTCATGGAACATTGAGGAAGAGAGCATCAGCATAGGTCATGCCGTGTGATTTTCAGTAAAAGATACATCACATTGCTGCAAAATTTGTACTACATTTGTTGACTGATGATTAGAAAGTGAACAGTGTTTGAATCAGTGAAGAACAATTGCTTGAATATGCAAGTTGTGATGAAAAAACACAACAACAAGAGATGATGAGACATGGGTTCATGGATACAATGTTCAACCAAGATGCATTTGTTCCAGTGGGTGGGGGAAAAGATCTTTTCAACAAAAAAAAAAAAAAGAAAAAGCACATGCAAGTCGGTTAGCAACTGAGGTAATGTTGATTGTTTTTATTATTTTTTTATTGGAAAGGCATTCTGCACTATGAATTCATCCAATGTGATCAGATAGTCAACAAAGAGTTCTACCTAGAAGTTTGAAGGTATTTGAAGGATGCTGTGGATAAGAAGAGGCCTGAGTTATAGGGAAAACCAAATGTTTCAGCAAAGCAATATGCCAGCATCACACATCACTCTTGATTTGAAATTATTTGGCAAAGAACAAGAACCTATAAGAGAATACAGAACCTATATTCTCTCAAGCAAAGGTCATACACACCACCCACTGCACAGACACCTCAGATGGCTTGAGAATAATTGAGAATGGCACTCTACATATGCTTAAATACCATTAAGGAGAATAATTGTATTAACTACAAGGAGGAAATTGCTCTATCGATGGCCTGGCAGTCCCTACTGGATAAAACTATGATAGCACACAACATGCACAGCACAGTCCGTAATCACATCATCAGTTTGCTTGGGACAATGTTCCAGATTATATTTCATAATAACTTTGAATTGAAGTGCATTTCATTAGGAAGTTCAAATTACCTGAAGAAGAACTGTAACAGTTCGAAAACGTTTGTAACTTTATTGTATAGTTTGTACTAAGATACACACTGGTAAAAGGCTTATAGGTACGTATGTGCATTTTACAATACTCCAGTGTAGAAATTCTACTATTTTTTAAAGAATAAGATTCCACTAGTCATGCTCTACCTATCTTACTGTTCAGAGATTTTCCAACAGACTTTTTCCTATATCCTAGGTTGAAAACAATTTTGAAAGAATGTTTTCAAATCACAAGAGGCAAAGGAAAATGCAATACAAGATCTGAATGCCATTCTTCTGGAATGGCATTCAGATCTTGTATTGTATTGCATTGCTTCCACAATTGATGCAGTTCAGGAGGCATTTCAATTGTGGAAGAAACATTGGGAATGACATATTGCCAGTAGAGGAGAATACTTTGAAGGGGTGTATAATAAACTTGTAAGTACTAATGTTTTTATAGCAAGAGTTTGATTTTTTTTTTTTAACAACTTTCATATATTTACTCTTGCAAAATAGTTTTTCATTGATTATGTAAAAATTTTTAAAATATTTTTTTTAAACCCAAAAGTCAAACTATCTCTAAACGAAAAATATATGATTTAGACCATTTTCATAATCAGTGGCTTAAGAGAGACATGTTTGTGAAATAATTGCTTCAAACCCAGTAAAACATTTACAGACACATTTCAAATGTTTAACAAGCTTATGGCAAGGGCTACATGAGCAGAACTTGGTGCTCTGAGTGATTCTAGCATTTCAAATCAGGCAGAATGTCAACTGACAAAGATCCCAGGTCTAGGCAACCCTCCATATTAACAGACAGTGACCAGATTGAAGAAGTTCATGATTGTGCTGTGTGCTGATTTCAGGAAAACAGTACACAGTACAGACTTGTGATGTCAGATGAATGTGTATGGTGTGTAAAGGATTTTCGATATTATTTTAAAGAAATTCTTGATAGGTTTAGACTGCAATTCCCAGCCAGGAGTGTGCATACTCCTAGAGGTATGTGCTTGGTGGTTTAGGAGTATGTGGGAAAAAAATTAATAATGGCAGATATACTATGAGAATATTTGTATTCTGCATTGAAGCCTTTGGCAACATCACATTGCTTGATACTTAGTTTTAAATAAAAATATAATTATATTTTTATTATAAAGTAACATATTTTCATATGTAATTTGAAAATAAAATTAACTATAAAACTAAAAAAGATTGACATGTTAAAATATAATCACAAGTCCATATTTAGAACTTTTAAAGTAAATGATATCTAAATTTGAAAGTTACAGAACTCAAATTATTATAATTATATAACCAAATTTTATTTTTAATTCCTGTCTGAAATAAAAATAATTTTTTAGAAACCAATCAAATTGAAGATCCTCGTCAGCAATGGAGACAGTTACAAGAAGCAATGCTCAAAGAATATTTACTTACTGCTCAGAAGGATTTAAAAGTAAGGAGGAATAATAAACTTACATATATATTTATTTCATTGATAAATTTATCTTTTAGAAAATGTGGAATAATTACAAAAGAATGTAATATTTTAATGAACATGATTGATTATATTGAAAATATAAAAGTTTTATGATATCTTATAGAATAAAGCATAACTAATAAGTATTATTAATTATTATTAGTTATGGTTTATTTTATAAAAATAAATCATAAAAGAATGATTATGTTTTTCAGGCAAAACAAGAGATCTATGACATCAAACAACAAAGACTTTCTTTAGCTCAAGATGAATATCATCATCTTACTGCTGCTCTTCATGGCTTAACTAATTATCCATCTAATGTTAGTTTGTACTCTGTGGGTTCTTCAAGTAGTGGTAGCACTACTACAAAATATGATCCTGATTTATTGAAAGCTGATGTGGCTTTGGCTAAAGAAAGAGTGGCCCGTTTAAAGAGAGAACTAGATCAGATAAAAACTGAAGTATATTATAAAGAACAGGGAATAGAAGCTCTTGCAAGGTAAGTTAATAATATATAAGTTTTTTAAATTATTAATTTTATAGTTTTTAGTGATTTGAACAGGGTACCTACATACCTGGAAAGTCAGGGATTTTCATTAGTGTTTGGAAAAAGTCATGGAAAGTCAGGAAATTTGTCTCCTTGACTGTCTTGTTGAAATTTTGGTGTCAATATGCTTGACTAAGTGTAGCCATCTGCAGGTAGCAGGAGGTTATTGAATAATAAATAAATAATGGCTTTTTTCAAAGTCTCGCAGGTTTATGGTTGTGGATTAATAATAGAATAAACTACTTTAATTTAATAAAACATTTTATTTTTAGTTTTAATAATCTGGCAATTATAAAAAATATATTACTGTTAATTAGAAAAAATAACTAACTAAAAAGTTGGAGAAGCAATAGTGTATATGCATAGTAAGTCAAATGCTGTTTTATTTTGTCAATGTGCCATAGAGTAAGGGATGTGAGGGTCAGGGAATTTGTACAAAGTGGAAAGTCATGGAATTTAAAACAAAAGTTTGAGTAGGAACCCTGTATGAATTAGACAAATAAAGATAAGGGATAAGTTACCTATAGGGTGTTTAAAAAGTATTTCTGTAGTGGATGTTGAAGAGTAATTCATTAGAATTATGTATGTAGTTTTTATGGGAATACATTCCTGAGCTAAAGTAAATGTTGAAAATATTGTCTCCTAGTTTGAAGACTCAGCTGAACTCTTTTTATAGTTGTTTTAAATGCTGCATGTAGAGTCATGGTTGTGATAATGTCCTTCAGTTCCAAAATCATTCTTGGCTAATGTCTGTACGAGTTTGCCTTTGCTGCTCCCACAGAAAGAAATCTGGAGGTATTAGGTCAGAGGGATATGTAATGGTCAAAGTCTTTTAGAAATGACTGTCACTGAATATATCTTCCAAGAGATGCATAGTAGTTACAGCTGTGTGGACTATTGTGCTATCTTGATAAAAAGTAGGCATGTTTGATTTTATGTTTTGTCACTTGACCAATGAATAGAGTATTGCAACAATATTTTTTAGCATTAAATCTTTCTGTGAGAAATATTAGTACAACAGTTCTTTTTCTGACTATTGCTATCCCCATACCAACCTTTTCTGAATTTAATGATTTTTCATGAAATATTAATACATATGGATTTTCTACACTCTATAGCCTTGTATTTTGGGATTTATGTAATCAGAGAAGTAAAAATAGGCCTCATTAGTGTAAAAGCTGTCATGCAGCATCTTACATCTCTTTTCTGTCATGAAGGTTTAAAAACCATACATAGTACTGAATTCATTTCTTGTGATCACTTTCCTTAATTTCATGCATAATGTAAACTTTGTATGGGAATAAATTTAACATCTTTCGTTCTACTCTACGTGCACGCAACAATAATAATGCTTACTTCTTGGGACAATCTTTGTATTGATTTTGAACTTGCTAACAATTTCTTTGATTTTACAGTGCATTTCCTCAAAGAACATGCAGTATATCACTTCCTAAAGTGTATGCCACAGGTCCTGTATTATGATATTTTGTAATATTAATAAAATCATGCACAGTGTAATGATGAGGAACATTACATAACACCTGGAAATTGTGGAATTCTTGTTTTACGTGTTCTGTATACCTGTCACTGGCAAAAACATACTCTGCTAGAAGTACATGCTACTGGATGGTTAACATGTTTAATTGCATTTAACTTTACCTGAACTGACTGCTGGTTGGTAAAACCCACAGTCATGCACCCGATACAATGGTTAGACAACATGACATGAGATCAGGACAACATTCAAGGACATGTTCAAGGTCATGAAATATGACATCCATATACATGGTGCACAACAAAATAAGCATGACCAACAAATCACTGTTTATTGCATTCACATTCACACATTCACTGTGGAGTGACTTTTTGAATGCATTGTATAATATCAACAAATTAGTAACTTATTAATATTGTTTAATATGTAAAACTAGTAAAAATTTTGCATGTTAATCATTATGTTGTGTATAATTTTTAAGATTTGTTTTTCATACATTTGAAAATCATTTGAGTGTAATCAAATTTGAGTTTCATCCAAAGATGATCATGTATTCTTTTTAATATGTGATTGCCTTTTATTTTATCATTTAGTAATTTATTATTTATAATAGTTTTATACTGACAATGTCAACAATATCTATGATATTATAATAAAATTATGCCATTGAACTTTAATTTACAAACACTGATGACAGGTCATCCAGATTGTATATGCTTATGTGTATGCTTGTGCATGCTTTGCTTTTCAATTACCCTTTTACTATATACTGTATATATCTTTAAGGAGTATCTTGGGTTAGAAGAGGTATTTTAATCAATAAGTTAAAATTGTTTATTTACTTTCATTTTTAATTTCTTTTATTCTGTTTTCTTAATGTCACTTTAATGTAAAATATTTAACAATATGATAAGTAATAAATCTTTTTAAAATCTTTTAAAAATTATAAATAAGTTTTTATCCTACGCTATAATTTTAAAAGTTGAAAAATGTTTTGTATTGTAAGATTTATCTTGTCAAAAGTTGTTGTTAATTTATATTTTATGATTACTTTTCTTTGAAGTGCTATATTTTTAAATGAAAATAATATCAAATATTAACATTAATATTATTATTATATTTTAACAAACGGTATTACAGGTTTTATTTGCAAATGAATATATTTGTAAATAATACAATCATTGACAAAAAAAAAAATTTATGCATCCAGATAGAACTGTTAGCTGTATGCTGAGTTTTGCAGTAATAAATATCTAAGACAAATATATAAATGGTTATAGTTTTTGTCTGATTGCATGCCAGGTAATGCAATCACAGTGCCTTAAAATTGTTATCCTCAAATATCATATAAAATGGCTTGAAGAAACAGTGTTTGGAATTTTTAGTGTACCTGTTGTTTGGAGGTCTTTGAATGCTACTCATGCCTGTATTGTCATGTAAAGACATTGTGCACAGCTGACAGTTTGAAAAAGACTGCATCATCAGGCTGAGGGAAACAAGCTGGTTGTTTTGCCAAATTGATTTAAGTCAAAACAGTAATGTCTGGACCATTTTTGACCTGATTGTGAAAAGGTCTTGGTGATATTGGATACATGAAGGCATGTATATATATATATATATATACAATGGGCAGAGAAGCGCAAACTCTATGGACTGACAGTATTGGTCTTTAAGAATAAATTCTGGTTCTGTTTGGGAATAGACAACCATTATGCTAGTGTGTCGAAGACTATTGGTGAGTGCTTCAATCCTGTCTATACTGTTGAGTGTCACATTGCTCTTACTGCTGGTATGCTGATCTTAAGAGCCATGCTGGTATGACAGTTAGGACAATCTAGAGCAGCGTTTCTCAAAGTGGGCAATAACACCCCCTTGTGGGCGATGAATAAAATCTAGGAGGTGCTGGAGGCAGGGTATTGAACAGTGACCGAAGCAAAATTGGGGTCACTGAAAGCCATTCCCTTTCCTCTGTTAAACCGATAAGAGGAAACATTGCGTTTAATGGTTTCCAGATGTTGAGAACAATGTACGGTAAGGGCACAAAGTGTGAGATTCATAGAAAAGTTTTTCTAAGAATATTTCCAATCCTTTCTCACACAAGAGAAAATGGGTTAGGGAATGTTGGGTATAACTATATGGAACAAAGGGGGCGGTGGATTGAAAAAGTTTGGGAATCACTGGTCTAGCATATCTTAGATTGGTGCAAAGGACATTGATGGCACAGTGATATGTTCAGAAAATTTTATGCCCTTGTGTTGCTTTTCATGGCAGGCTGCAAACAGCCAGCAAGATATAATGCTTGGCTGCACACAGCTAAGGTTTTCCAAGCATGTCTACATAATGTTGTCTTACTTCAGATTTGTCACCCATCCAGCATTTACCAAATGGGATGCCAGCTTTGGCTGTCTATGCGTATGAGGGATCAAGAGTGGCAGTTTTGCAATTGCCACTTCAGATCTCTCATATTTTGTGACCACATCTGTTTTAGGATAGCACATGGCTTTTTCCTCAACCATATTACCGTGAAATGACTGGCATGGTGCATATAAATGGGGAAGACCAGCATGCCAGAAATCCTGGGGTTACTGGTATACCGGTTAAACTAATTAAAACATCAAAATAATCAGATCTGACAAAACTAGTTGTTAATTAAGCGTTAAAGCAGGGGTGCACAACCTGCGGCCCGCGGGCCACATACGGCCCCCTATCAATGTTTATGCGGCCCGCAGACGGTACAGGCCAAATCCCTTCTTTTGAAGTTTCTAAGTGTAGAACTTTTTCCCTTTCACAAAGTCATTAGCACCCAACTGTTTTATGACTTTCCCTGAGGTGAGAAATGGGGGGTTGTTCTATAAATAAGTCTATTTCTAGCTAACACTTTCTGGTTTAGATATGGAATATTTTAAGTCTAATACATAGTATTATAACGATTTTTTGAAGAATCAAATAGAATAAAATGATGTTAGAACGTCATTTCCGATGTTATCAGGAAGTTTCTATTTTGGCGGGAAATCTTCAATTTTATGCTTCGGAAAACTTGCTTATTCGTCTAAATAGCGTCAAATAACAAAAATAAGTGAAAATAGCGCTGAAAAACCATGAAAATAACGATTTTTTAGCATTTGTTTACATTCTAGATTCTGATTGGTATAGTCGAATTTGAATCAATCTTTTCTGAAAAGACGCTTATTCGTCAACCTAATGTCATTCAAACTAGAAAAAACTAACCAGAGTTCAAAAAGAAATGTACAAAAAGCTATAACAACCAATAATTTACAACAATATCTCTCCATAGACTAAGAATAGAAAAAAATTTTTTCGCATCAAATTTATTATTATTAAGTTGGACCAAGAAAATTAATACTGTAGTTGGAATAGAGTCATTACGACTAAAAGGAAGCCATTTGCATTAAAATATTTTGGATTTAATAATTATTACAAACCGCGTCAAGCCATA